AAACTCTTCCATCTTTATTTTTAGCAGTGCAGTCAGTCATTATAGGCAGTCACAGACTGATTAGGTTTGCAGAGTAGTTAAAATGCTAACCATACAAAACAGGGGAGAGACTACTTCTGTAGGGATGTGCACAAAGGACCTTTTTTAATTAACATTTTTGTTGAGGTTTTATTAAAAGACCACATTTTGCTGTTCAAAGACTGCAGATGCTATGATAAATGCATGCCTTGAAGGGGTGCCATGGGGAAAATCCAGAACAAATCTCAATGGAATTATATCTTCTTATGTCAGATTTGAATCTGAAGCTACCATTGTACACATTAAAACACCATACAGTGAGCAACTTCATGTTAGATTTCTATCTGCTTATGCATACAAATGCAAACAAACATCTACATTTGTGTGTGCACATTTATACACAAAGAAAACTTCCTCTGAAATTTTGTTAGAATGAAATAAAATGTTAACATTCTGCAAGGCTAATGGAAGCAAATCTGAGTGCATTTCATTTATTTCTTACCGTTCTTCCTTAACTCTTCATCATTAATGATGTTTTCTTTTTCTATCACTGTGGTTTGGTCTTCTGAAAGATGGATGGTGCATATTGTCAGCCCCACAATTCAATGCAAGAATACTCTGGGATATCTTTGTTTCATCTTCAAATCTTTGTACTCATACTTTTGTATGAGTAAGAAACAAAAGGTCTAGAAACCTACCTTAAGGTGGGACTAACAACTAATAACTCAACAACCAAGATCTGGAGTTAACACAACACCAGCAATATATCTGGTCAGTCCGCAATGTTTCTAAGTATTGCTAAATCTTCAGCTACCAAAAACTTGGCCCACAAATTGAGTCAAGTGGGAAGCTGAGGGTATGGGAAAATTCCCCAGGATGTCAAATACAAAGTAGAGCAAGAGGCATACCGTCTCTGCCATCTCCCACAACCATGGTGCAAGCCCTTCCTCTTGAAGGATGCAGGTAAGCAAAGGATGAGTGCTGTCTCTGTCTACAGTTTTCTGCTGGGACAGAGGGATAAGTGAAAAGTTTCTCATCCCCACAAAGAGATTCCAGTGCTAAAGAAGGGCTGTTGAAGATCTCTCAAAGATCCACGTCTCACTAAAGATCTTTTTTACCGAATACAGAAAACCAGCACCTTGAATAAATATGTCAAGTAAGGCTTCTTGTAATCTCTACACACAGTTCAATCCTTGTAGTGCTTTATTCTTTTCTGTTTTGTTGTACTAAGACAAACAAGTTCCCTGCAAATGCCTTTCCCCTTCCCAACTGAAAAAGTTTAAGGGTAGTCATTGAATAATTGTTTCATGTTTTCTAAGTTACCAGCCCAGTTTGGTATTTACTTTTTTTTTCATTCCAAAAATGTTGGAAAAAAAACCCCAACACTCTAATATTTTTCAATGAACTATTCTAGTCTTGATGATTTGATCAATGTACATGCACATTCAGAAACACATAGAGCTAATTGCAAATCAATAGTGGCAAAGCAATTTCTTTTCCAAAGTTTAGGTGAATCATTGCTTTCTGTAAATTGGCAAAAAATCAGAAAGCAAACGATCAGGCAAACTCAAAAGAAAGTTATTATTTTATGTATCTATTGGCAAAGCACAAATTTTTTTAGGAATAACAAGCAACAGCAACCACAAATAAACAGTATTTTTAAACAGTTTTAAAACAGTGTTTTTCTTTAAATAAACTGTTTAAGCCATTACCACACAAGACTATAATAATCAGTACTTTATAAGAACAGGAGATACATATAAGGAGGGAAGAAGGTTTGTGCTTTTTTGTAATTCTTAACTTTGAAAGAGAGGAAATCCCTTTCAGGACTTTCAGTGCTAAAAAGACTTGATTTTACACGGAAAAGAAAAGAGAGAAATATTTTACACTATGAAGCATTTTTTAGTATCTTCATAGGAAAAAAAAATGTTTGAAATTGGATTAGATTGTTAGAAACCTGACTGCAGGTAGCAACAATTCAAAGTTATGAACCAATAACTTGACTAACCAGAGAACAGGGATATCAGTTTTGTTGTTATTGGGAATTACAAATATAATATGAGGAAAAGATTCAAGTACCTCCTAGCTAAGATAAACAGGAACAGCTAATAAAACACAACTCAAGCCTGAGAAAAATTTATACCTATCAATTTGCCTTTTAATACCTTTGGAGAGGGAGATTTTCAGATTATGGCTGTACCTTGAGGTTTCAGATTTCTTTCAGTGTATCAGTGGTTATTGACATGACACACAAATTGGGCTGGTGGGCAAAAGATATAGAAGATCTTATTATCTGCAGTTCCCAGATAAAATATGGGAGAATTAGGATAAATGCTGGTTTTAAGTTAAGCCTTCAAGTCCTGAGCTAGAGATGGGAATGCTTTCTTTTTAAGAATTGGGCTGAAATTTAGGACTGGGAAACTACACAAGCTCCAGAGAAAACTGGCAACTGGGATAGAGCGAGGATCAGTCTTCAATATTAAGTTATAAACAATTAAATATAACAGCTTTTATATTTTTATTGAAAGTAGAAGGTTCATTCTTCCATTTACAGCCATTACTTTTGAGCAGACTTGGCCATGAAGTAACATCTTTGGCCTTTGAAGGGAAAGATAAATTAATGGATGGGATATTCTCCTCTTTAATCTTTAGCAGGTGTAGAACATCATAGTAGACTGACTCATCTGCTTTGATGGCTGTGGTATGAAGAACCATCCAGGATTTCATTGCTGCCTCTCTTTGTCTCATTGACAAATGAACTAGTGTGGCTCAAGATGCCATTTGTGATTCTCTAGTTCTAGACTGGGGGCTGGGGGGTGGCACTTGCCCATTCTCTACCTACCGTTTCTCCTTAAATCACAGGAGGTTTATTTTGAACTTTCACACTCATCTCTTCATTCAATTTACTTAAAAAGAACAGGTTTCGGCTATTTCTGTTATCCAACCCTTTGATTTAGAGAAGCAAAGGGATCATGATGAATCACCAGCTTGTTTCAGGCATGCTACTGTCTGAGGGTCTTTTCTACTGTAGTAAGCCACCTTTATGTGGTTTTAGTCAAGGGTCCTATCACTCATAGGTACTCCTACTTGCAGAAGTATTCATAGATCCATAAGATTTTTTCCCCTGCAGGTGAAAATGAATGTGCAACCTTCATATGAGACTGCCTACCTCTTAGTCCCATCCTTTGATACTATGTTAACTTTCTGGGTACAGAATATGTTATCTTTTTTGTTTTCAGGCACAGAGAGCACACCATAATTTTGTTTCATAAAAACATACGGATATCCATTTCAAATCGCAAATTACTTTGAATCTATCAAGACACAGCCTATGCATTTTATATATTATTTTTTACTTGGTAATTCCATTTGACAGATGCGATGAGGCCGAAACAAGTCATACAACCATCTGTGGTAACATTTAGAGCTTCCCAAACTACAGCACATACACCACTCATTCCACCTGAAGAACTTCAGAAAAGCATCTATTTTCCACTTAAAATAGTAAAAACAAAATAATCCCTTCCCAGACATGGGTAACTAGCCAGCCATGACTTACTGCTGTATGAATCAAGGCCAAGGAGTAAAGGATTAGAGTAATGAGCTATCATTTAGCTCAGTGAGAAACTGAGCATCATCCTTTTCTTTGTGGACTACGTGCTAAAAGGCAGAAAACAAGGTGCTGTTGTTGAAATGAGAGAGCACATGCATGGCTTTCATATTTCTGTGTGAGATATATCTGTGCACTGCGAATCCCAGTGCAGTAAGTCTTTGAATCGATGGCACAGCACACATACAATAAATCTGATGGTTGAGGAAGCACAGGACTAACGGTGCACGTGGTTGGAGACTGCACAGTGTGTCTGCCTGACAAACCCAGAAGCGTGGTGCTGGTGTGCAGCTTTTGTTTGCGGAAAGTTTGGGAGCACACTCCCCCCATAACAAAGGCTGAGGACAGTGTCACCAGGCAGCCAGAAATCTTGGACCGGTGAGAGAACGAAAATCTTTACGTTCCATGTGGAAAATATCTGGTGAAACAAAACTCTGCCAGGGAAATCAAGGCACATGGATGAAGTATGCAGTGCAGAAAATTGAATATTCTTGCCACCACTAGTCACAGAGGTGGTGGTCACTACCAGTACTGCTGGAGGTAATTAAACAAATGAATCAGGGATTACTGATATTAGGAAAACCTATCTATATAAAAAAATAACAAACAGTCTTCTGTAGTCACTGAAGACTAAAGGTAGCAATCTTGTGGTAAGCCCTACAAGGAAAAGCAAAAAGCCAACAACTCGCAGGTGACACAAAACTCGGAGATACTTGATGTGACTGCTACATTAGCTTTCATGACAATTGTCCCTGGGTATGCTGCCTGAGGAGGCACGTTTGAGAACACCAGTGCCAGTTACATAGGGTTTTTGCTCAAACTTCATAGAGACTTTCAGCTTCATGGTACAATACAGAATCCTAGTATTTCTTTTCATGTGAGGACAAGTAATAAGGACATATTGATTTGATTTTTATTTCATCCTCAAACACAGTTTGTAAACTAAATAAGGAGTTCATGACTTGACCTATCATCAAGACCTCGACAGTTTAAACAGAAATTTAATCTTCTCTGTATATACTTCAGGGATAACAATATGAGAAATACTGTGATGTGCCTGTTCCCTAAAAAACTCATATTGACAACTATAGATGGGGTGAGAGAAGAGGTCACTGAAAACATGAATGAAATTGAACCACAGCTACAGGCCTTCAACAAAATCTGTACCATCATTGGATTTGTGCAAATTAACTACTAACTTTCTCAAACATTGTCCATGATTTTTTTCTTCAGGTTTGAGAAAAAATATCACAGTTTTACAACAAAATAATTTGTATTGGAGAATTGAAGGGAGCCAGAAGTGATGAAAAGAAAGCAGTCCCATTCCTGTACTCCAATAAACAACTTATAGATGTTTTATTTTCACAGTTACCTGTGCATTTCTTGATATTGCTATTTCTTTTTCCATGTGATCCTAACTTGCATCCAAAGTTCTCCTCCCAAAATTCTGCAAACCATACATTTCTTCGATTGTTAGCAAGCGTTCGGCTCCGAAAATATCTATCAAATCCTACATTTAAGAGAAGTGAAAGAAGCATTAAAAAATTATAAAGTATAAAATTAGTCTTTTAAAGACAACAACAGATCTTGCATAAATATCAAAAGAAGAAAAAGCTTGAGGTACAAACTACTATAACAAGACATTTTATGAGCATCGCAGTATCTAAGGACTTAAAAAATGGTACATTTGTTATTATCCCATATTTGCTGTAGAATATTTGTTTTAATTTAAATATCTACAGCAGTTAAAGTGTCTCTAAAGTTCCAGCAGAATTCTATTTTTTAAAATGCATTGCAGATAGTTATAGAAACTTTTAATACACAGATGACCCAAATAAAGAATTTGATACCTACAAGAAATTAGACAAACTATAATCACTACTTAGTCAAAGACTGATCCAAATAAATTTCATCTCAAGACCATATAAAATCAGCAGGTACCTCTCTGTTGAGCCAGAGAGCTTCTAAGACACCTAGAATTCTGCTTCTATTTATAATGTTTAATGACCACAGCTGAGAAACTAAAGACTCCTCCTTAAACCTGGTCAGATTCTCCACCAGCCTTACAACCCAGCTGCCATAATGAAATCATGACTAACACATACCATCTGGATTAAGCTCTTTACAAATCTGACTACATTCTCCAAATAGTGTCAATAGTGCTCAGTTTTTCTAATTGTTTACTATTTTAGTGCACTTACCCAGACAGTAAGAGATGTTACTATATCCAGTACCCTCCCAGGAATAAAGGCATTCACACCAACAGCTTCTATTTCATCCACCAATTCAGAAACTTTGTTGGCATAGTAGCTTCTTTAAGTAAGTTTAGGAGAGGAAATCAGAGCCTAGGCTGATCTCCTCCCGGGAGAACATGCTGCATTATCATTAATCTAATACTCTCCTTTTTTGTCCTAAAGAACCACCAGGCTATGGGTAGGAAGCTCTCCACCACACATGCTCCTAGTTATTAGACAATAATAAGACTGCTGAATTGCAGATTCAGCATTTCCTCATCTCAACAGAGATCAGGCCAACGCAAGTTTTCCCTGTAATAAAGGACTACATGTTTTTTTTAATGGTTTTGTAGGAGGGTTTTTTAAGAGAAGTAGGGTGCTTTAACGCTGTCAGAAATGATGGGTTCATGCCATGTGCGTTCCTACCATCTATTGAAGTTCTTTTGGGCAGAATGGTTACTGCTCCTTCTGCAATCTCCTCCTGCTGCTGAACCGGTGAAATTTTTGACCCCCAGCTATCTGAGCCAATCCAGAGGAAATGGCCAGATTGATTAGCTTTTTTGGCTGCTTCCAGTATTCGCCTGCAAATACACAACAGATGACTAATTAAACAAACTGCATTTACAAAGAGCTTGAAAATCCCCAGCATTAATTCTGGCTATGCATAAGTAAGCTCACACTAACAAATTAGTCAATAGTTTTCATTTTAAAGCAAATTCAACAACATCTGTAGTGAACTCAAGATACAGTACTGTACTAGTTAATTTGTTTCATCTTTATCCACATTTTTCTAGCATTCTTACTGGTTTCTTCCTTTTCAGTCACCAAATAACAGTCTATTGGAGCTACACTTCTAGGAGCTAGGAAGAGGTTAGATCTCCACAGAATAAAGGACCAGATCACTAAATAATTGCAACTTAATCTATCATCAGAGTTCCAAGAATTTTTACATGGGATTAAATCTTAACCTTCCTGTGTTATTCTATTCTGCACCAGCCAGTTGAACATCTCTGTGAAGAAAGAATATCTTTAACACATAGAATTAGGAAACAGGCACCTAATATCATCTTCATTGGCAAACATGATCACTGCTCGAGCATTTGGAGTTTCCAACAAGCGCTTGATGATCTTCTCAAATTCTCCTGGTCTTGGCTCCCGGGGGATTTTGAGTGACTGAGCAATGCAAACACCTCCTGAAAAAAATTAAAAGAAGAAAAAAGAAAAAAGGTAATTTTAACACATTAAATCTCCACGCTTCAGATAATCCGCAGTTAACCAGGCAGGCAAAGAAAACAAGACAGTAATCTGAGATAAGGCAGAGCAGCCAAAAGTTACCTTATCTGTATTTTGAAATATGCATTGTGCAAACTTACACAGTCAGTACTGCATTAGAAGTTCAATTCAGGTACCGGTTATATTATTTTTATATAGAATTTAGAACAATGTCCTGAGCCAGACCCACAAGCACTGTACTCTGTTAGGACTGAGTTCTACCAACCTACCCCAATTTATGGCAGCTGAGAACCAATCCTTGCCACAGGATTGCATTTAACTGTGGAGTCATAATTTGACAGTTATCTTATGTTTGTAAAGTGGCTCATTGGTACCAGGTACTATCATACACCTCTGCTTTTTCAGCAGAGATTGTAAGGTTAACAATAAATGCTGTGGTTACAGAATCAAGTAGAGAACTTATGAATGAATGCATACAGATCACTTCTAATTGTTATTATGACATTCTTAATTAAGTTGTCTTAATTATTTAAGAGGTTTTGGGTTGTCATTGAATATTCTAAATTACTAATCAGCAAATGAACACAAACTCACAGATGTCATTTATATCTCTTCCTGACATAAGGAGGAAAGTGCTAATTGAAATCTTTAGATTTTACCTGCCCTGAAAAAAGGGACAAATTTCTACAGAAGTTCTGATTTTTAATGGCTTTCATACAGATGTGCAGGGGAATCCCTACTTCCCAGTTATGACACTGTTATCAATGTTTGAGCAGACAATGAAAAAGACTCCTTAAGCATGTTCCATGAAGCACTGAGTCCAGATTGGCACCAACTTCCAATACCATAGATGATCTTTGTGTGATTGTTTGCTGATTTGGTTATTTTAATTATTTTCTCTTTAAGAACTATAGCCTGATTTACTTTGGTACATCTAACTCCCACCAATATTTGCCTGTAATTCCCAAAATAAGAGCTTCTTGTGGAGAATCTAATCATTAAAAAAACAGGAAATGAAGAAAATGAGAAAATGTTTATTTCTAACAAAAAGTGACATGTTACTAGACAAAGGCAAAGCAAATGATAATTTTTGCATCTCTGCATCTAAACACTTCAGCAGTGAAGATTGCCTTCAGCGTAAGTAAGAAGAAGAATTTAGAAAAGCTCTTCTATTTTTAATGAATCCCAGTATTTATTTTCTGATGTATAAGATAATTTGGGGCCTATACACATCTACATATTAAAGATAATTAGACAACTAAAATCCCACTTAGATGGCTATGTTGTATATGGATTTCACTGAATTTCACTGAAATGAGTGAAATGAAGAGGCTTTCCGATTTTCTCAACACTCTAGTTGCCCCCATCAAAATGTGAACCTTATGTTTTTCCAAAGTACTTTACAAATTTGGTTGATACACACTGTCAGTGACAGAATTTGAAGAAAAACAGGTGTCCAGCCAGATGCAGCTTGGGACAAAGAACCACATGAAGTTACAGAGGTCTCTTGTGTTAGCTTTATTAAGCTGAATGTATTTAATATTTAAGCAAAACAAACAATCAAAGTAAAGGTATTTATGGAGTCTTTTTATTTCTTTTATTCAAATGTAATATTTAGAAAATGTTAGGGATTCATTATCAGATTTTGTTCTGCCTCTGCAAAATCTCATTGACCTCAATAGTTGTCTGCACAGGCAGATCCTAAGTTTGAATCAAGTTTAGACATGGCATAAATGAAGCATGGAATTATCAACTGACAGCATAAAAATAACAACTTTCAAATGAAACCGGTTTTAGACATAGGCAAACATATCACCTTTTTCAGCTATGAATCAATTTCTTGGGAAGTTACATTATTATTTTATTAGATTGAGATGTGCATACTACCATATAGATTTATCCTGAATTATTCTCTGCTTTACATGAAAGAAATAATATTTGCAAATCAGAACACCTGTCATTTAGAACAAAAACTCTTTGTACACACTTCTTTATTATCTATAAATAGTATAAAGATATAACATAAATTGTTTATCTGCTTTAATATGAAATAGAGTGCCTTTCTCTGGCAACACATTTCTTCACATTTTTATGAACAGCCTGGCTCTCCATGACGGACAGCTAATTTGCCAATAACAACAGATGAGCCCGTATAGTAAGTGACCCTCATATTCACCAGGTATCTTTGACAATCCAGTAATGAAAAGATGGACACTGTATTACAAAAAGCTTTAGCCAATTTTCTAAACTGATATTATGCCATTGTGATAGACACTCAAAAAGGCCTTTACTGCAACCTCTTTCTCAAGTAATGGGTCTGTAAATGTAAGAGAAACATTTAGCAGACATCCTGTAAATTTAACAAACAGCAATTCACTGTTACGAAGGAAAAACTGAAAAACAATGCCAAGCTCTCAACTGTCCCCAAAGTCATTCAGGCACAAAAAGTAAAACAGATCCTAAAAAATGACATAAAGGAATAATTTGTTACCTCATAAATTTTTAGAGTACATTTTCCAACCATTTCTATTCATGCAATGGCCCTTAGGAAAAAAAACATTCTTTCCACATAAAACTCAAATGCAAATATTACAAAATGCATACATATAATACACTATATACAGCCATCTACATTTTGTGTGGCATGGATATCAAGCAATGAAAAACTGCAGTATCTAAAAAAGCTATTTTCAGTCAAGATGGTGTAGAAGAAACACCATTCCATCATTGCAGGAGCAAGTTCAATCATGACAGTACTGTGCATCTTAGCATCTCTACATTGAAGAATGTGTTAAATACTAATAGGAACAAAATGAAATACACTTCAGCCCTGTTGCTACATTTATAATGAATTGTGTAAGCTATCTCCAACACACAAAACACTTTGTGTACACCCTTATCTTTATATTGCATATACAGCTGTTACTCAAACAAATAGCAAAGTATCAATTTTCAGCTAATGATGAAATGCTAGATCCACAAAGGTACTTACAACATTACGGTGTCTAACCTCTCAGCACCCTGCTGCCTTTGAAATCTACAGCCTGGGCTAAGTGCCCAGACACAGAGAGAGATGAGTGTCTGGGAAAAGGATTCACAGGAGCCAGCAAACTGAATAAGGAATAATTATTCCTCAAAAAAATCTAGCAGAGGTACTAAGAGGATGGGTTTTAAGGCCAGTAGTTAGGATAATCTTATCAAGTGTGAATAAAAGAGAGATTTCCCAAATCAAGAAGAAATGGGGTTTGAGAACAGATGTCTTGTACATGGTACCCATGGATTTGCCATTTGCTGCAGAAGTGCCAAAGGGCAGATGGTTCAGACACCTAATGCCCCTGGAGGACTTATGGCTGTGAATCACAAGAGCAAATAGTGTCTATATGTTTTGCCCTGTCAGCATTTCTGACTGATTTGGCATAATGACTGATTGTCCCTGTTGCTGGTTTCTAAAATGTTTGTTATCCTTCATTGTCTGGGGATATACCTAAAAAAAATACATTGGTCTAAATTTCTCTTGGCTAAAATTATGATTAATCCAACATTTGTATGAGGAAATGAGAGCTAACTATCTTCTTACTGAAAAGGAAATGTTGTGTTCAAACCCAGTCAATTAAAAGGACTTATGAACAGGCTTCAGAGAGGGCTGCACTAGAAGCTGTTACTGAGACCAAGAAAGGAGTCACACAGACAGACCCAATTCAGGTATGTCAACTAGGAACAGATAGCAATAATTGTACCCTGTCTTGTTGTACCCACTCCCTAACATATATATGAGAGAGGAGATGAAATTAAGGGTGTGCATGTCACACATTTTAAAGACATTAAGATGGCACTGATGGGAAGTAGCTCTGCAACTACTCTGGGGATTAAAAATAAAAAGTCTTAGCACCAAACTGTGCAAAGCCTCTTTTTTCTGGTCTCAGATCCATAAAACTCAGGTTGCATCCAGTCATCCTAGAGCTTGATTTGAGAAATAAAACAGTTAATATGAACGGCACTGTGCCAGTGATGATAAGTATCCGTTTCTCTTCTGTCTAGCAGCTTATCAAGTGTGATAACCAGCACCTGGGGCCAGGGGACCATGAAGAGAAGGAGAGCAGAGGTGGGAGCTGGAAAAGGCTCACGGCAGGCACTGCCCCACTTATGATCAGGGTCTCGGTCCAGCTGCTCTGCACCATAGTTAGCAGCTGGCAACTCATGTACTTTTAAAATGGGAACATACACAGTCCTGATCTACAACAATATGTTTTTGAGTTGTTTTCTCCATTGTGACAAAAAATCACATCTTAAACAAATTGTTCCATGCTAGGCTTGGCTTGCTTACAGGTGCTCTGTATAACACAGTTTGTGGAAAATAGGTTATCACCAAACAAAAAGCTAGTAGATTTTGAAGATATTGTCAGTACACTGGATCAATGAGATTTTTCCTTTTTTTTGTGCTCTTACAACAATGATTCTACCAAATAAAAAATAAGATGAAAGGAAAATGTAGTACCTGTGTCGTTTTAGTGCTTAAAGCTATGGTGATTTTATAATGAAAAATATTCATTTTAGCTCTCATGGGTTCTGAAGTCACAGGATGGCATGCTAATTGTAAACCATTAAATGCTCAAGTATGCGGAGGTGGGTGTCAAAAGAAGTGATGTTGAATGTGCATTTGGAAAATAGCAAGCAGATTTGCTAGAAAACTTTCACTAACAAATGAATTTCCTGAAGCAAATAATGGAAGATGAAGCTAAATGTAAATACAAGGGTCGTATTCTCTCTTACCCCAGATAGGATGCAGCACTACATCATGGACCAACTAAGTAGGATACACAAAAATGGGCGCTGTCTTTGTACCAAAAAAGCCAAAGACAGTTTTAAGTTGAAGTGGGTTCACTGTTGGGACCACAACCATACTACTCAGAAACAGTTTAACCTCTAAACTATTTTATCTACCCATGTGTATACCTAGCCC